ATTTGCGTTAGGCTTTTACAGCAAAACAATATCTCTATGTTATTTTAATTTTTTTACTTATTAGTTTGCCACATCATTTGTTATAAAGTATTATAGAAAATTAAAAAAATGTGTAAGTAAAAAATAATTGAAAGAAATTACGATTTTTCTTAATTTTTTAATATAGTAAAAGATTTACAATATAGTAAAGATTAGAATTGATATATAAATATTTTAAAAGATATTTACCACACATTTGGCAAGAATTATCCAGTATTTACATTAACATTTTATTTTAAAATATAATATTGTTACGGATTCAATCGATTTCGTGACAGCATCGATAATCGAATCAATAATAACTCGCATGAAGCCAGAGAGGCAGCACCTCCCGGCAAGCGTATTTATGGCTATTGTTCTCACCAATCACGCAGAATACACGTGAGAAGTAGCAAGCCACGAAAACAAAATTCCTTTGGGTTTTTCGGCAGTAAAAGCGAAGTCAGTCGTTGAAAGTCTCTCCAAGAGTAAAGTCGACATAAGTAAGCGCTCTCTTCAATTGAAAATCATTATTAATCAAGTCGGATTAAATGATATAAATCAAAACCTAAGACTATTACTGTGTGCGAGTACTGAGTTACGCGGAGTGTTGTGCATACAATTAGATTGCCGCGAATAGTCCGGCAATAAAAACGAGGCTTCGCGCTATCAACCAGGGCGCAACTCATTGTTTAAATACGAACTGTATAGTTCCTAATGATCACTCTCAATCAGCTCTCGGTTCACATGTCAGTGACCGTACATAAGTGTCTCACACTTAAGCAAGTTCACGTGTCAGTGAAATTACTCTCATGTTTTTCTTTCGCATGACGATTATTAAATCGTATGTAAGAACAATTAAAGGAAATTTAATATTTGTGTAGGAGGATATTTTGCGCGTACAGATTAGCAGTGTCCTTCAAATCAAACATAGTCGACGAACAAACAAGTGCGAAAAACATTCTATGTGTACGACGAACAAAGGTTATCGAAAATTCCTTCGAATTTCAGACTCGAAATTATGATCATGAATAGCAAGCGTGATCGACGTATGCATACTCAGTGTATTATACTCGCATTGTTGTGAAGAGAATAATGAAATAACCTTGTTAACGATTTCATTTTTTTGTTTAACGTGTGCTATGTGAAGTAATAAATACTTTTGATAATGTGTTAAACTTGAATGTTTAATGAATTTTTTTGATTCGGCACTGGCCTAACTTGCCATTTCCTTCGCGCACCAAATTCGGAGCGCGTCCACCCTACATCAAGATAGTTTAAATATCTCGTTCACATTGAAACATTTTGGTCCTTCGAGCCGGATGAAGGAGTGGCAGCGAATCAAAGTGTTCATTGAGTGTTCGAAAACAAACTCTATTGACAGTCTAAGTGATAATCCAGTACATGTCGATTCAATTTTACTCTTATCGGCGATAGTGACCTCCCACGTGATACCATCTATAGCAGTTGAATAACAGTCAGTGAATTTTAGTGTCGAGATGGAATCGGCATTTGCGAATCAACAAACTGCATTCCACTCGATAGGGCGATCTCTCGCTAATTTCAAAAAACTCGGTCGTTCAAACTGGACGCCCGCAAAAATTCGCTCAAGATTAGCGAGTTTGCAAGAAACGTGGAATCAGTGCGTGCGCAATCACGCGATTCTTATTCAACTTGTTCCCGAAGAAGACCGAGATGAATTAGACTACTTCAAAGATGATCAATTTGCCGCTCATGAAGATATTTATCAGACAGCCAAGGACTTCATGAACGAGTGCCTCGAGGAAGTAGCTCCGGTCGTAAGTCACGATTCGTCAACCGACACTACATTTTCTCGAAGCGAACCCGCGTCTTTTTCGTTAAAGCATCTTCCACCAATTAAACTACCTCCGTTTTCCGGGAAATCCGACGAGTGGGAAACGTTTCGAGATCGATTTCAAGCGCTAATTATCGATAATCGAGACCTTGCAGAATTTAGTAAAATGCATTTTTTAGTATCGAGTCTCACCGGCAGTGCTCGCGACGCGATAGCCGGCATTAAAGTTATTGCAGATAACTTTCAAGTAGCATGGAAAGCATTAACAGTCAGATTTGAGAATAAACGCAGACTAATTGAGACTCATTTATCTACTTTATATCATCTTCCCAAAATGACGCGCGAGTCAGCTGTCGAGCTCCACGCATTGCGCGACAAAACCGAGCAAGTAATTTCTACATTAAACCGTCTCGATCGGTCTTCGGACGATATAGTTAGTGATTTGCTAGTTTACTTTATATCACAAAAGTTCGATTCTGCGACGCGTAGAGCGTGGAAACTCAAAACGAGCGATAGCGATGATCCCCCAACTTATAAAGAATTAACACGTTTTCTATCATCGCGCGCTCTCGCTCTTGAAGAGCTTCATTCTTATGAAAGCGATAAATCGAAGTTACATTCGAAAGTGACGAGCGCAACAGCCACTGCGTCATTTGAATTGTCATGTTCGATGTGCAAGCAACAGCATATTTTCTCTAAATGTCCACAGTTTGTTTCAAAGAGTCCTCATCAGCGACGCGAGTTAGTGAAAAAATTCCGACGTTGCTTCAATGTCTGAGCAAAAATCACTCGGTAAATGATTGTCAAAGCAAATTTACGTGTCGTTTTTGTAGTAAAAACATCATACGATGATTCATCTGGAATCGGACTCCTTGCGACAAACCAATTCTAACGTATCAAATGCGCATAACGAGAACGAAAATGCGGCGAGCGTGGCAGCGCTTTCATCCATTACATTGACTACCGCTCCGACTCCGGTAGTCTTATCAACTGCCAAGGTAAACTTGCGTGCGCCTTCAGGCCGTTCGTTGACCGTCAGAGCCCTGCTTGACGGTGGATCGGAACTCACTTTTATTTCAGAGCGAGTTGCACAAAATTTACGTCTAACGCGTATACGAACGTTTACGTCCACAACGGGAATCAGCTGCGTAAACACCGGAATTTGTCGCTGCATTAATTTACATTACGCCTCGTGATAAACCCGAACCAATTTTTACTACCGTCGCCTACATTATGAAATCATTGACAAGATATGCTCCCAGAAGCGTTTCGAATTTGCATGAGTGGAAACACATTTCGAATCTCAAATTAGCCGATAATGATCCTACCGGATCAACGCAGATAGACCTCATAATCGGAGCTGACTTATACAATCAAGTACTCATTAATGTGCAGAATGGACCAGTCGGGCAACCAGGCGCCATACAATCACATTTTGGGTGGATCTTGTCAGGAACCACATCTGTTCCAAGTCATATCGAACAGAACACTTGCGTAGTTGGTTCAACCTTTATTTCATCGCTCGCGTTAAACAAAAATCAAGGTTCACGAGTTTCTAGATCAAATCAAAGATATCAAGTGGTCGCTCATCATTGTTCGTTAGAATATCAATTACGTAAATTTTGGGAGAGCGAAGAAACGCCTCAATTTAGACAACTCCCTCCCGAGGATAAGAGCTGTGAAGAGCACTTCCAGCGAACTCACTCGAGAACAGCAGATGGAAAATATATTGTGCGTCTTCCTTTTCGCGAAAACCTTCCAATTAAAATAGGCGAATCCCGAGAAATAGCGGCGCGTCGACTTTCTTCACTGATTCACAAACTTAAAAGTCAACCCTCTATTACTTCAGAGTATTGCGAATTCATGCGCGACTACGAAGATCTAGGGCATATGCAACCCGTTCCTCCCGTAGAAACTCATCACTCACAAGTCGTGTACATCCCGCATCATCCAGTTATCCGAGAGGCAAGCTCCACTACTCGTTTAAGGGTTGTCTTCGACGCGTCCTGCAAGACGACCAACGGAACTTCTCTCAACGACCACATGCTTAAAGGTCCTAAGTTGCAAACGGATTTACAGGCCGTTATATTGCGTTGGCGACAATATAAATTCGTCTATTCCGCGGATCTAGCCAAAATGTACAGGCAAATTCTCGTCGATCCAAGAGACCGAGACTATCAGCGCATATTGTGGATCGACAGTAACTCAAACATTCAAGAATATCAATTACTTACAGTCACTTACGGTACCGCTTCAGCTCCATTCCTTGCGCTCCGAGTAATTAATCAATTGAATGAAGACGAAGGTCCTTCTTTTCCGTTGGCTTCCGCCATTTTGCGCGATAACATCTACGTTGACGACGTACTATTCGGAGCAAATGACATTTCGCAGCTAAGACATTCGTAATCAACTTCGCGAATTATTAAACCGCGGCGGTTTCACCCTTCGAAAGTGGGCAAGTAACCAATCGGAGTTGTTAACAGATATCCTATCTGCTGATCACGGTCTAGCTTGCTCGAAGACTCTCGAATCCGACGATAACTTGAAGGTACTCGGCATCTCTTGGAATCCCTCGCATGACAGTTTTCAATTCCAAGTCAACCTTCCTAATACCTTTCCTATCACAAAGCGAACGATACTTTCAACAATAGCTAAGTTATTTGATCCTCTCGGATGGGTTACACCCGTCGTTCTTAAGGCAAAGTTAGTTATGCAACATTTGTGGCGACAAAAGATAGGTTGGGATGACCCCATTCCTAAAGAAATTCGGTCACATTGGAAATTAATTTACGATTCTCTTTCTCACATCACAGATATCAAATTGGGTAGATGGATAAACCGTGATTCAGACACAGCGAGTGTAGAATTACATGGATTTGCTGATGCATCAACCGTAGCTTTCGCCGCAGTAGTCTTTCTAAGAATAACCTCGCGTTCAGGACAAATCAAAGTCTCACTTCTTGCCGGACGATCTAAAGTCGCTCCCATTAAACTAATGAGCGTCCCTCGTCTTGAACTCTCAGCGGCAGTCATATTAGTTCGTTTGATTAATTTCATAAAAGAATCTCTTCATTTAACGAACGTTCCGATTCATTGTTGGACAGATTCCACCGTAGTTCTTGCTTGGTTGAACAAACACCCTTCAACCTGGAAAACTTTCATTTCTCATCGGGTGTCAGAAATCCAAACACAATTACCCGACGGTGCATGGCATCACGTAAGCACAACCGATAATCCCGCCGATTGCGCTTCGCGCGGATTACTCGGTTCCGAATTACATTCCCTTCGACTTTGGTGGCATGGGCCCTCCTGGTTAAGTCTCCCCGCAAACGACTGGCCTAAGTCTATCAAAGTAACCTCACAAGAAACTTAATTAGAATTAAAAGCTTGCAAAATTCATCAAGTCAACGCTCCTGATTTGTGGGACTTAGCTTCCCGCTATTCTTGGTGGCCGAAATTAGTGCGCGTCACTGCATATGTTTACCGATTTATAGATAATTGCCGAACAAAGCGACAAGAAAAGCATGACAATCATCTCAATTCTCACGCTCTCACAGCATCCGAATTCAATCGAACTCGGAATTTTTGAATACAAACAGCTCAAGCTGCCGTGTTCGAGAGCGAACTTCACAAATTAAAACTTAATCAAGCAGTATCCATAAAATCTCGTATATATTCATTAACTCCATTTCTTGACTCCACCGGTTTAATACGAGTCGGTGGACGACTTGAGCATTCACAATTATCATTTGAATCCAAACATCCACTCTTGTTAGCCGACCATCCAATTTCTACTATGATTATTTCATATACTCATATCGTTTCTAAAAAAAATATGAAAATTGCAATAAGCAGTTAGATAATTTTTCTTTAAGACAACTATGTGTTTTCTTTACACCAATTGATTCGTCTCATTATTCTGTGCATAAAAGTATTAAGGTATGATAATCGAAAAATGAATATTTCCCAAGATATTTTGTATTTTATGTCAAAATACTGCAAATTTGCAGCCTTAATAACTCGAAAAATACTTCATGAAAAAATATTTTATTGTAGTGTTTTGGAAAGATCTCGAAGTCAGCTACAAAAGTATGCAAGAAAAATATAGTGTTCCATTTAAGAAATTGAAGTTGACCTTTACGTAACCTTCAAATGGCTTTAATTATATAATTAAATTAAATAATAATGTTAATCTATCGTTCTCCGATTAATTTCGTTTATATCAATTGTCAATTAAATAATCTTTAATTGACTTCGATCATATTAATTGTTAATTAAGCGATCTTTGATTAATCTAGCTTATATCAATTGTCATTGTAACGAAATCTAATTAATCTTTCTAAAATTAATCGTCAATAAAAAAATTTTAATTACATTTGATTACATCTTTTGTAATTAAATGTCATAATTAATTTGAAAAGTAATTAATTAATGAGCATCTCTGCTGAGTATATTGATTAAATTTAATTAAATTAAATATAACTAACCTCTACGGTATTCGGCGGCAACGGGGCCGGCGGCGACGGGGCCGGCGGCGACGGGCTCGGCGGCGACGTGGTCGGCTTCATGCATTGGTATCTGAATGTATAAAGAGTATTAGTTTTATAATAGTTTTTTATAATAAAAAATAATAGTATTTTATAATAAAAAATAAAATACTTACATCTGCCATTTCGGTGTTTGAGTACATCTGGAATTATAATAAAATGAAATATATTTAACAGATTAAAAAGAAGAAAATATTATATATATATATATATATATAAAATATGTGGAAAAATAGAATCAGTGTTAAAAGATGACAAAATGTGACAAGAAGAGAAGTTAATTCGGCAGTTGTGCACTCGCGAATTGTATGAGCGCACGTGATCGCGGCCGGGCGCAAGGATATGGGGTGTTGAAATTTACTTGGTTGGGCGTTAAAAGTTCCATGTGACTGTTAAATGCGCGTGATTTGATTGAGCCGGAAATTCTAAAGATCTCCTTAATTAATTACACACGTACGAATTTTAACACTTGTTCGAATCGCGTCCCCTTGCGCTCAACCGTATAATAGACAAAATAAGATCTGGATATTTCGAACACCTGATGTAACGAGTCGGTGCGCGTAAACAAGTTTTTATGCGCGAACGACAAGAGTAACATTAAAGTACGTTCGAAATATATCTATTGCAAAACTATATGTAAAATCATAATTATAATCACGGAACCAATAAATAAGATGTGAATATCTCAAAAATTCACGAAAAGATCCCGAAAAGTTCATAAAAATGACAATGTTCCGTCGCTTAATGCTAGTCGTTCTCGCGAAATAAATTATTAATAATAAACGAACTTAATTGCTGACTACTAATTAACTGATTCTACATTTTATTAAAGACGATGATGATGTTAGAACGATAGTTTACAGAATCTTATATGTATATGACTTACTAAGGTTAGTTGCTGATATGTTAATCTTCTCACGACCACAAACTGATTAGACCGCAGGCTGCGCGACAGGGGTGCGTAATCGTGCGGCTTGTATTTAGAATGATATGCTCGATGCCACGCGTGTCACACGTGTTGTTCTTGGCCGCGTGTTCATATCATCGATGTTTTCGACAATTTTCGGTGCGACGAAATAATCGCTGCTTTAATCAGGTAATGATTTTATATTGTACGTATCAAAATATTTATTATAATAAATTTGTGAATATGTTGATGAAGTTAATGTGTAAAGTTATAAGATAATTAATTCTTTATATATTTGGATTATAATTAAATATTAATTTTATAATAGTACAGACACACACACACCACACACACACACACTCGCGCGCGCGCTTATGTCCGTGTGTTGATACGTATATCTATATTCTTTAATTAATATTTAAATTTATATTGTACATATGCAGAATATATACAGGGTGTTAAAAAAGTGTCGCATTTGCTCAGCACCATTCGATAGAGAATGAAAATCTAAGAGAAAATGTCTAATACTATTTTTCGATTTGATTAATAATTTCACCGCAATTAATTATTGTAATCAGTCAATCAGCGCGGAGTTACAAGAGTAAGTCAGGGGCGGGCGCGCGAAGTTAGCTGCGGCGCGGCGGCAACCGCGCTCACGTATGGTACGCAGTTTTACTTTTTCATAGCATAAACAATATTCCATTTATTATAAAAGATTAAATGATTAATTGTCTTATAAAATATAAATGAAATAAATTTATGTTAATACATAAAAATAATTCGGTGAATTAAAATTATGTCGAGATTTTATATCAGTGCTCGGAATTAGTTGCTCTTTTCGAGCCGATTTCGCGAGCGACGGGGCGGGTTCCCCCACTACCGTCGAGACTCGACGGCGGAGTCGTCGTCACTCCGAGCAACGCTATATCTCAGGAGCGTCGCTAAACATGTTAAGTTGTGCCTTCCGCCAAATCGTCATTATTATTACATTATTTATATTTTTGTTAAATAATAACTGAATATTAACATTTTTATTATTAATGTAATTATAAATGTAATCTATATTGTTCATAGATACATGTATATATATTGTATACGTATATATGTTATAGATTACATTTATAATTATATTAATAATAGAAATAATATAAATATTAAAAATAATATTTAATAATTATAATCTTACACAACAATAGTTTTCCACATCACCCGTGAGGTACTATTGCAGATGCGTTTTTTTTATAGTGGTTTCCCCAGTAGGCCTATTCCACTGAAAATAATAAAAAGTGCGGTGGCTTGGCAGAAAAACAATATTATGAAAAAATAGAAAGAAAATAATTAAGAATTTTATTTAGATTTTCTGGGTCGTTTACACGATTCTACTAGGGATGAGATATCCACAGAAATTTTAGAAGAATTAATTCGCATCAGCGAGGATAATGATGCGTCGCTTAAGGAGGAACGTTTTTCAGTTTTAATTATTTTCATTTTGGAAAAAGAACATTCGCATAAATATGTGGACCCAAACATGAAGAAAATTCGAAGACCGAAATTTCTAAGATGTGGATAATATGACACATCTAATAATTTGAAGAATTCGATTCCTTTTTCTAATCGCGCCTTTAAAGAAAGATCACACTGCAAATCGCAAAGTTCTGCCTGAAATTCTAGGCTTTGTTCCTCGATTTGCACTGTGAGAGGATTCTCGAAAAGTATTAAATCTTTTCGTAGCATTTCAAAATCTCTGAAACGCGTATCAAATTGATCGATTAAGGATTCGATAATATATATGTGATTTAAGAAATTACAATTTTTGCCGTGTTCTTCAAAGAGAATCTGGCATGAAGGGAAAAAATGCAAATTATTATTTTGTAAATGATTTTTAAATAATAGCAGTTTTCTGCGAAAAGAATCGACATGACTAACTAATTGTGAAATAATTTGATCGGTCT